AAAAAAAAAAAAAAAAGAAATATGAGGATGGTGTTTCATCAAATAATAGAGAATATCGGTGAAGAGAGAAAAATTATAAAAGAGAATCAAATAGAAATTCTGAAGTTGAAAAGTAGAACAAATAAAAAATTCACTAGGGCTCAACAGCAGATCTGAGTTGTTTGCAGATAGGCCAATTGAGATTATTTCGTCTGAGGAACAGAAAGAAGAAAGAGGCCGGGCGCAGTGGCTTCACGCCTATAATCCCAGCACTTTGGGAGGCCAAGGCAGGTGGATCGCTTGAAGTCAGGAGTTTGAGACCAGCCTGGCCAACATGGTGAAACCTCATCTCTACTAAAAATACAAAAATTAGCCAGCTGTGGTGGTGCGTGCCTGTAGTCCCAGCTACTTGGGAGGCTGGTAGGCCAGACGACTGCTGGCGCCCAGGAGGAGGAGGCTGCAGTGAGCTGAGATCGCACCACTGCACTCCATCTTGGGTGACAGAGACCCTGTCTCAAAACAAAAGAAGAAAGAGAGAGAGAAGAAAAAGTCTCAGAGACTTGTGGGTGGGACACCACCAAATGGACTAACATATGCATAATGGGAGTCTCAGAAGGAGAGAAGAGAAAGGAGCAGAAACAATATTTGAAAAAATAACAGCTGAAAACCTCCCAATTTAATGAAAAACAACCAACACATTCAAGAAGCTAAATGAACTCAAAGTAGGATAAACTCAGAGATCCACCACCTCATCAGCAAACTTCCAAAAGACAGAGAACGTCGAAATCAGCAGGAGAGAAGCAGCTTGTCATGGACGAGGCATCCACAGAAAGATGACCAGTTTCTCATCAGAGGTCGTGAGGTGGGCAGGCGGTGGGATGACATATTCAAATTACCGAAAGGAAAAATACTGTTGACCAAAAGTTCTACATCTAGCAAAAGCTGCTTCAAAAATGAAGGGGAAATTAAGACACTCCCGGATAAACAAAAGCAGAGGCCGACCTGCCCTACAGTCCTTCAGACTGAAACGAAAGGACACTAGACAGTAACTTGAATTCATGGCTGGAAATAAAGAGCCCCGGTAAAGGTCGCTGTGTAATTAAATAAGAGACAGAATAGATGTATTTTTGTGTGTGATTGTCTTCTCCTAAAAGACAACTGTATACAACAATAATTATGAATCCATGTTGACGGACACAAACACACCCCGCTGTAATTTCTGGCAACAGCGTAAGGGAGGGGCGGGGCTGTGTAGAAGCAGTGTTTTTGTATACTTTTGAAATTAACTTGGTGTTAATAACAACTGAATTGTTTATTTTAAAACACTTTTTATTTTAGAAACAGGGTCTTGCTGTGTCGCCTAGGCTGGGGTACAGTGGTTTGACTGTGGCTGCCTGCAGCCTTGACCTCCTGGGCTCAAGTGATCCTCCCATCTCAGCTCCCCGAGTAGCTAGGACCGCGGGTGCACACCACCATGCTGAGCCAATTTTGTTTTTTAGAGATGGGGTCTCACTATGTTGCCCAGGCTGCTTTCAGACTCCTGGCCTCATGTGATCTTCTTGCCTCAGCCTCCCAAAGCACTGGGATTACAGGCATAAGCCACCAGACTCACCCTAATTGTAGTAAATTTAAGATATGATATTAATGGCAATCCTCAGAATAACCACTAAAATAACTCAAAAACATAGTAAAAGAAATGGCAAGGTAATTAAAATGCTACACTAAGCCGGACGTGGTGGCTTATGCTTGTAATCCCAGCACGCTGGGGGGCTGAAGCGGGTGGATCACCTGAGGTCAGGAGTTTGAGAAAAGCCTGGGCAACATAGTGAAACTCCGTCTCTACTAAAAATACAGAAAATTAGCTGGGCCTGGCGGGGGCCTGTAAATCCCAGCTACTAGGGAAGCTGAGGCAGGACAATCGCTTGAATCCGGGAGGCGGAGGTTGCAGTGAGCTGAGATCACGCCATTGCACTCCAGCCTGGGCAACAAGAGTGAAACTCTGTTTCAAAAAAAA